AATGAGAGATGAGGGGTCAACCTCGTTTTCCTCATCAGAGATAGCCAGGGTATGAGCGAGAGGTGCATTGTCAATGCTTGGCTTCTTACTGGCAGGGGTCAATGGCAGCTTGTTGTTGTCGATTAAGTCTTGGATAGCTTCCTTAAGCCTCCAACAGTTTTCGGTGAGATGGCCCCTACCTTGGTGATACTTGCAGTGTGCATTAGGGTTCCAATTAGCCGACCTCTTCTCAACTGGTAGGTCCCCAAATGGTCTAATAGGAGTTATAAGACCTTTTGCATTTAATCGATCAAATGCGGTGTCATAACTCATGCCAATAAGAGTAAAGTTCCTCCTAAATGGTTTCTTCTGTCCTTGATTTTTCATTAGCAAGAACTTCTCCTAAATTAAAAGTGCTAACGTTGTTTGATTGGGCGGTTTTGGAAGAAGAAGGATTGTCGTTCTTCTTTCCTTTCCAGCCAATGTTGGAGTTATTGTTGGCAGCTTTTAACTTAGCCAAGTCGTCTACAATATTGATCCCAATGTCATAAACGGCCTTGAAGGTATGGAGATTATTTTGATACTTGAGATGCTTGGAATATTTTTCTTGAAGATTTTTGATGAATAGCCTCACAGATTCTTTTTCACTTGGCACCTCGATCATTTTAGCTGAGGTTTCCCTCCATTTGTTAAAGAAAGAGGTGAAGCCTTCATTATCTTTATGCTTGAGGATTTCAAGTTCCCTATGGTCAGTCTCGACTTGAATGTTGCACTTGTACCTATCAACGAAAGTGTTTTCTATGGACTCCTAGGTAGAGGTCTTTTCTTTCTCGAGAGAAAAGAACCATTGTTGGCAAACGGTCTCGAGAGATAGTGAGAATAGAGAAGGGAAGACCTTCTTATCAATACCCCTAATACTCATTACTTTTTCGAATGCTCTTAAATGAAAGTAAGGGTTGTTAGTCGCTCTGAATTTTGGGATGTCGTTGGCATTGAACTTCTGCAAAAGAAGTTCTTTGTCCACCGAGACCCCTTGTGATGTAAGTTCTTGAAATTTGTAGTCACTAGACAACTTGCTTAGGCTCTCTTGCATGAGGTTCATCTGTTGTTGCTTCAGGGGATCATCGATCTTGAGTGCGAGAAGCTTCAGTGTCTCAGTCACGGTAGCCAGTTGGTTCTTAAGATCATTGACTTCTTCTTGTGTTGCCATTATAGTCTTAGCTTTCCTCTTACGAGTTATGGGTTTGTCGAAAAGTTGGACTTATACAAAGAGGTTGTCTTTGATTAACCATCCTTCCTTTCTTGTTTGCATTTTAATTACTTGACTCGAATCAACTTGACTTTACGGTTTATTTTGAGGAGGAAAAGAGAAAAAAGAAAAAAGGGTGCATATTTTTGGTAAATATAATGTACATATTTTTAGAGAACTAAGTATAGGTTTTTTTTTATTAGAGGATTGATATCCGGCTTACCCCCTTTAAAAAAATGACAGAAAAAACGCGCACACAAGGCTCTCTTAAACATGGTCAAAGTATGTGTATTGGTGTGTGCGTTAGGTGTAAGTGACATGCTTGAAATCTTGTGTAAGACCATGTGACTTAGTGCCTAAACTCGATCATCGACTCAAATAAGTACTATCGACAGCAAAATTTAACCGAATTAGTTAGCAAACTGATTAATTAGACTCTAGGTGATGACTCGACCAATAATCCGAACTGTCGGCCAGACGACATATGAGTGTTACACCAAACAGAAACAATAGGGAAAAGGTGGGAATGGTGGAACACCCAGCAGAGGCCTAACAATTTCAACAACCAGGGGAATATGGGAAATGGTCAAAATGGGAAGTTTGGGAATGGTAGCAACAATAACAACAGTTCTAGCAATGGCAATGGCAACATCAACAACTCAGGCAACAACAACAATGGGTATCAGGCAAGAAACAACACTCCCGGCCGCTTGTCTGTGATGAGCAAGGGAGAAGCTGAGAGGTCCTCGGATGTAGTTACTGGTACTTTTTCTATCCAATCTATCTCTGTCAACACTCTATTTGACTCTGGATCAGCTTATTCTTTCACTTCTACTTTTGTTGTGCGCAATTTAAACTTAACTTAATCGAGTCATGTTGATGTGTCAGTCAATCTGCCTATGGGAAACTTGTTCATTGTAAGAAAATATTCAAAGGCTTACCTTTGAAAATAAGAGAAGCTATCTTTCCATCAAATCTTATTGAGTTGAACCTAGGGGACATAGATGTAATTCTGGGGATGGATTGGCTGAGTTTATACAAGGCTAAGATAGACTGTGAGATGCAGAGGGTACAACTGAGTGACCCTTTGGGTAAGAAAGTGTCCTATTGACGGTTAGGGAAGCCTAAAGGTTTTGGGATCATTTTTGCTATGAAAGTGAAGAAGCTAGTGAATAAGGGATGTTTATTGTACTTTTGTTGTGTTCAAGATTTGAGTATGAGTGAGAATAGGCGGATGGAGGATGTGCCCATTGTGAATGTGTTTTTAGATGTCTTTCTAGAAGAGATTTCGGGAATGCCACCTAAGAGGGAAGTTGAGTTTACCATTGACTTAATTCCAGGAGCTGCACCTATCTCCAAAGCACCGTATAGAATGGCACCGGCTGAGATGAGTGAACTAAAGGCTCAATTGCAAGAGTTGTTAGACAAGGGGTTCATTAGGCCCAATGCATCATCTTGGGGAGCACCTGTGCTATTTGTGAAAAAGAAGGATGGAAGTTTGAGGCTATGTATTGATTATAGAGAGTTGAATAATGTGACTGTAAAGAATAAGAACCCTCTACCTAGGATAGATGACTTGTTTGACCAACTGAAGGGCGCAAGTGTGTTTTCGAAGATTGACTTGAGGTCGGGGTACCATCAGTTGAAGGTTGCAGATAAAGACATTCCAAAAACAACCTTTAGAACTAGGTGTGGACATTACAAATTTACACTCATGCCTTTTGGGTTAACCAATGCACCAGCCATATTTATGGACTTGATGAAACGAGTGTTTCATGAGTATTTGGATAAGTTTGTAGTTGTGATTATTGATGAAATTTTGGTGTATTCGAAGAATGAGGAAGAACATGCTGAGCACTTGAGAACTACCCTTGAAACTCTTAGAAAGAACAAGTTGTATGCTAAGTTTTCCAAGTATGAGTTCTGGTTGGAGAAAGTTTCATTTTTGGGGCATTACATTTCGAAGGAGGGTGTATCCGTAGATCCTACGAAGATCAAGGCGGTGAGTGAGTGGCCTACACCTAAGAATGTGACTGATGTTCGTAGTTTCTTGGGATTAGTTGGATATTTTAGAAGGTTTGTCAAGGATTTTTCGAGGATAGCTAGACCCATGACTACTCTTATGAAGAAGCAGAGCAAATTTGAGTGGAACGAGAGTTGTGAGCTAGTAAGCTTTTCAAACCCTCAAAGAGCGATTGACCACTGCACCAGTGCTGGTATTACCTGATGGGATAGAAGGATTCGAAGTGTATAGTGATGCCTCGAAGCATGGTCTGGGATGTGTCCTACAGCAGAATGGAAGGGTGATCGCATACGTATCGAGACAACTGAAGAAACATGAAGTCAACTACCCTACCCATGACTTAGAACTTGCAGTTGTTGTATTCGCTTTGAAGATTTGGAGGCACTACCTTTACAGTGTTTCTTGTAAGATCTTCACAGACCATAAAAGTCTAAAGTACATCTTTACCCAAGATCACTTAAACATGCGGCAACGTAGATGGTTGGAGTATCTTACAAACTACCATGTCAACATCCAGTATCACGAGGGAAAGGCGAATGTAGTTGCGGATGCCCTTAGCAGAAAGTCGAGTCATAATGTCAATGCTTTGATTGTGGCTAATGAGTTGTGTGAAGATATGAGGAGATTGAAACTTGAGGTTATCAACCAAGCAGAGTTAGAGGGATTACTTAGTGCTTTAACCATCCAACCTTCCATATTTGAGGAGATTAAAGAAAAGCAACTGGAGGATGAGTCGTTTCAGAAGATTAGGGATCGTGTGACTAGTGGTGCGGAGACTGAATTCAAGATTCATGAGGGTGGGAGCTTGAGATACACGGAGAGATGGTGTATACCACAAAAGTGTGAGGATATTAAAAGGAAAATCATGGAGGAGTGCCATAATACACCATATTCAGTTCACCCTGGGGGTGATAAGTTGTATAAGGATTTGAAGGAGTTCTATTGGTGGCCGAATATGAAGAGAGAAGTGGCTGAGTTTGTATCCAAATGTCTGACGTGCCAGAAAGTGAAGATAGACCACAAAAGACCCATGGGAAAGGTACAACCATTAGAAATACCAGGTTAGAAGTGGGATTCCATATCCATGGACTTTGTGACAGGCTTACCAAAGACTTATACTGGGAATGACACAATTTGGGTGATTGTAGACAGACTTACTAAGTCAGCGATGTTCATTCCTATCAAAGAAACCTGGAAAAAGAAGCAGCTAGCAAGCGTCTATTTGAAGAATGGAGTTCGGTTGCACAGAGTTCCCAAGGACATAGTGTCAGATAGAGACTCGAGGTTTCTATCAAAGTTTTCGCAAAAAGTGCAAGAGAACCTTGGGACAGCATTGAAGATGAGTACTGCCTTTCACCTTGCAAGAGATGGTCAGACTGAGAGAACAAACCAAACCATGGAGGACATGTTGCGAGCTTGTGCTTTAAATTTCCAAGGAAATTGGGAGGATCACCTACCTTTGATCGAATTCTCCTACAATAACAGTTACCATGAAAGCATCAAGATGGCACCTTTTGAAGCATTGTATGGAAGGAAGTGAAGAAGCCCAGTTTGCTGGAATGATTACAATGAACGAGTTACTTTGGGTACATATTTCATTGAGGATATGGTGGGCAAGGTGAGACTAATCTAGTTGTGTATCAAGGCAGCACAAGATAGACAGAAGAGTTATGCTGACTTGAAGAGGAGAGATGATGAGTATAGTGTTGGGACAAAGTATTTCTAAAGGTTTCTCCAACAAAAGGTGTGATGCGATTCGGCAAGAAATGGAAGCTTAGTGCAAAATATGTGGGTCCGTATGAAATTCTCCAACGTGTGGGGAAAGTGGCTTACAAATTGGCCTTGCCAATGGAGTTCGAGAAAATGCATGATGTACTCCACATTTCCCAACTGAAAAAGTATGTGCCTAGTGAAACCCATGTTTTGCAGCTGGAGACTATTCAACTAGATGAGTCTCTAACTTATGAAGAAAGACCATTCAAGATACTAGATCACAAGGTGCGTAGTACTAGAAACAAAGATGTGAAGATAGTGAAAGTCTTTTGGTCAAACCAGGAGTACAAAGTGGCTACTTAGGAGGCCGAGGAAGAGATGAAAACAAATATCCCGAGTTGTTTGACGAGGTGAGTTACAAGAGCGTAACTCTTTTCTTTTGAGGGGGGAAGAATGCGATGTAATTTCGCGCTTTTACCTCAAATATACCATTTATTGCTTGATTTTGCACGTTTTTGCATGTTTTTGGTTATCATTATGCATTATTATTGCGTTTACATATAATAAAACTATGTAACCTTTGGCCAAATATGAGTTCATTGAGTACAAAGTTCGATTTGTTAAGTATGTTTGTTAAGAAGCAAGTAATTTACAGCAATACAAAACACATAAGTTTGAATACTTTTGAGGAACTATAGATTTTGGGTAAAGTTTCGAGGGCGAAACTTCTTTTAAGAGGGGTAGATTGTAATCCCCCATATTTTTAACTTAATTATAATTTATTTATATATTATTCTTACAAATATTTTTATGTCAGTTTCATTAAATAAATTATTTCTTATGAAAAGATTTAAGTAAACTAATATGTTTTTTTACTAATTTACAAACAATTTTAACATTATAGCCCAAAACCCAAATATTAATCCTAATCTAATTAGGAAACCCAAAGCCCAAATAAAACCCTAAAAAACCCTTACCCTTCTCCCCCTTCTCACGTAAAAAAAAAAAGGAAGAGCAACTTTCACTTCCTCCTTCTCCTTCATTCACGAGCAGCAAACAAGAAAAAAAAAACTCCTTGAAGCTTCTGCCGCCGCACCAGCCACCCGAACCACCGGCCGCCTGCACACCCCAACCTCTGGCCACCACCGCCTGCACAGCCACGCCTCCCCTGCACTTCGCTTCTTCTTCTTCCCTTTTCTTTACTTCTCTTTATTTTATTAAATTGATTTAAAGTTGCAATCTTTGATTAATTTTTATGCTAAAGGATTGTTATTATGGGTTAATATTATACTTGGGTTGCAAAAGATTATGAATTTATGAGTTTTGACATGTTTAAATTACTATAGAAAATTTAAGATTTGGTATATGTATGAATTTAGGGTTTAAAGTATTGATTTTTCATGTTTTAGGGCTTGATAACGTATTAATCAAGTCATCTAATCATACTATGTTTAAATTACATTAAAGTATAATTATCTTAATCATAAATAAATTTTCAGATTTATTAAAGTTTCAATTTTTATGAACAAGTAGTGTTAATTTCATGTTTTTATGCTTCTAAACCTATAAAATAATTATTGTGAGTATTTTGTGATTGAAAAAGCTTTGAACTTTATATTCTAACTTTAAAAACAATTTTCAGATTTCATACCTTTTATTTTGAAGCCTCTAATTGCATTGAATTAATATATTCTTGGGTTTTTAACACACTAACTTGCTATATAATGACTATTTCAAGTAATTATGATTATGGGGTTATTTTATATACTTAAAACAAATTTCCAGATTTATTTACCCACTTTAAAGTTGATGTAATTTGATATAAAACACTATATTTTTATAATTCTAACATATAAACTTAAAGTTGGGATGTTATATTACTAACTTTGATCTTTGGGGACAATTTAAAGGCCTTATTTTGATGATTTAAGAGGTTTTATAGTAGTTTAGTATTGCTCTAATTTTAATTGCTTTGGTATTGATTTATTTCTAATTGTTTGGTTTAGGAGAGGACTTTGTAGAAGGCGACTTCTAGTTTTAAAGTGGCCAACCGGATTGTTTACACAAGGTACGTACAAGTTACGAAACCTTGCTTGTAGGTGCATGTTTAAGGACGGATCGAGAACTTAGTATCATGTATAGGATTGAATGGGTTAAATTTTGGTTATACATTGTGAATTTCAAATGATGTGCACTAGTTTATAATGCAAGTATTATTTGTGCTTTAATTATGAAAGGTGCGCTTAAAGGCAAAGGTATGTGATTGGTGTAAAGATCAAATTATTACTCGTTCATGATTATGTAAACAAGATGAGTAAAGGAGAAATTCAAGTCTTGTAAGACGAGGTTAAGGTTTTGGGGTGCCTTATGCACTCAAGGTGTTTACACACCAAGGTAGTAATGGAATAATTAATAAATGTTGTTTGTCACTAATAAATCAAGAATCTAAATTGAGAATTTGCCATGTTTGACTGAATTGCTTTTGGGATGTTTGTATTGATATGTATATGAGTCATCACCAAGTCTAAACCTGTAAATCACGTAAAGTGCAAGATGGATGAGCAATAAAATTCTGGAATGGTGCACATCTGGAGTAATGACAATCTCGAGGCCGTCTGATCTACGAGTCTCCTATTTCAAATATTATTTTTCTAAAACTAGGAGTTAGGTGAGATCTCATACTAACTACGGTCACGGAGTCGCGCCCGTGGTCGTTGGATGTTTATTGATGTTTCCAAAAGGAGGCATGGGGTTTTTCTTTATTGATGTTCCAAATGGAACATGGGTTGGACAACCTTGTTTATTGCTAAATCCAATGAAATAAATAAATGAGTCAGTGAGGTCATAATAAATTTGATAATCGAGTCATGAATTGAGTCTGTATTTAATGATGCTTGTGCTTGATTATTAGTAGCATGTTAGGTATTTTCTTAATTTATTTCGCAGCTTGTATGTACTCAGCTTTGCTGACTACATGCTTTTGTGTGTGTCTTTCTTTGGTCATGGCCTTCGCCTTTCAATGACCCTATGACGATCCAATTTTTACACTTGTAATATTGGGGAGCAAAATAACCACAGGTTCTTACACATGCAGCATTCATCAGGGTTGTGGGATCTTGAGTAGAGAGTTGGTTGTTTGCATTTTATTTCTTTTGCAAGTTTGAATTTATTTTAATTCTATTTTATTTGACATTAATTCTTTTGGGTTTGAATTTATTTGAACACTAAATTTAATCACTTACTACTTTTATTGGATTTTAAATAAGGGCCTTAATGGTTCCAACTTGTAATACTTATTTTGATTTAATTCCTTTGTTTTGAGGTTTATTTATAACTATTTTGGTTTTCCACTGCTTATTTCTGAGATAGCCTTAACGTTTGAACACGTGGAGGTAGCACACCAGTAATTCTCTTGAAATTGTTCAGGTTATATACAAGTTTCTCACAGGTTTTTAAGAGAGAATTATTGGGGTGTTACAACCTAGCTAAGCTGAAAGCTGCTAACAGTAACTCCAACAGTGGCTGGAAAGGCAAGAAGAACGACAATCCTTCTTCTTCCAAAACCACCCACTCAAAAAATGTTGGCACCTTTAATTTGAGTGAAGTCCTTGCTATAAATAACCAAGGAAAAAAGAAACCATTTATGAGGAACTTTACTCCTATAGGTATGAGTTATGACACCGCATTTGACCGACTAAATGCAAAAGGTATTATAACTCCTATTGGACCATTTGGGGACCCACCAGTCGAGAAGAGGATAGCTAACTGGAACCCCAACGCACATTGCAAATATCACCTAGATAGGGGCCATCTTACTGAAAATTGTTGGAAGCTTAAAGAAGCTATCCAAGATTTAATTGATAGCAACAAACTGCCATTGCCTCCAGCCAGTAAGAAGCCAAGCATTGACAATGCACCTCTCGCTCATTCCTTGGCCATCTCTGATGAAGAAAACGAGGTTGATCACTCATCTTTCATCAAACCTGTTGAAGAAATTCATGCCATCGAAGAAGAGGAGGAGATCTTTTTCGATGCCATGGATGACTTTCCTGAACCAGCAAACAAAGAGGATGTACGGCTGCTTATATGGTCCATGTGGGAGAGATCAAGCTTGCTACGTGAAGCTCTCAAAGTCGCAAAGAAACAATTAGAAGAGCTTCAGCAAAAGTGTGACAGGGTTCCACCCACGAAGAAGAAACCCTTCTCTCTACAAGTAACTGACAGACCCAAGAAGAGTAATAAACTCTATACTCCAATTGAGACTTCCTACGCTAAAATGTTCGAAATTCTCTCCGAGAGTGGCAAGGTAAACCTCTCGAACCGAGACCATTTGAATCGCTGAAAAGGACAGATAGGTTCTATTGTCAATACCATCAATCAGGGGGTCACACTACTGAAAATTGCTTTAAATTTAAAGATTTAATTCAGAAAATGATTGATGATAATAAGCAAGTCCAAATTCCACAAGAAGAAGACATTAGCATCAATGGGGTTTGGGATAGCGATGATGAAGACGTCGATCTTAAGGATATGGAAGAACCTCCACTTTCAGTCATATACCCAATTAGCGATTTTTTGGAGGAAGAGGATTCATCTATAGACATCCTCACAAGGTCAGGGAGAATGCAACCTCCCATCTCAACACAACCTATACCGACTACGCAAAAAGTTCCCATACCTATCATAGAAGACAATGATATTGTCAAACAGTTCAAGAAAACCAAAGTTGAGATGAATGTATGGAAGCTTCTAGCAACATCTCGAGAACATAGGTTGGTAGTGATGAATGCCTTGGATAAGATAGGGATAGATTCTGACACCACTCCTAAGGGGTTGGCTAACTTCCTTACGAGTGATCTCCTTAGTCCTATCAACTTGATCACTTTTTCTGACAAGGATATACCTCCAGAAGGTGATAAGCATTATAAGGCACTAAACCTCATAGTAGTTTGCAAGAGAATGAACGTCCCTATGACTCTTGTAGACAATGGATCGACAATTAATGTTTGTCCACTCAGGACTGCGAAGATGCTAGGCATAAGGGATGAAGACTTAACCCCGTCAACGCAAGGAATAAGAGCTTATGACAACACTCGTCGTCAATCTCTTGGCAAGATTACCATGAATATAACGGCGGGAGCGATAGAACACGCTACTACATTGCAAGTGGTAGATATCAAAGCTTCATTCAACTTACTGTTGGGACGCCCTTGGCTTCATGACCTAAAGGCTTTCCCTTCATCTCTCCACCAACAGGTAAAAGCCATAGTTGGAGGAATTCCTATCACGATCGATGCTTCACCCATGAGGATTAAAGCTATATAAAATCCAATCATTAATGTGGAGCACGATTAAGACGATGA